CCTATTGCATCACCTCTATTACAATAATCCCGAGTAAAGCCTTCCTTACTGTTTTAACCGTTGTCAGAATACATTTTTTCCCTGACACTGGGCAGGGAGTGGTTATGCAGAGGCCCAGAGGAAGGAAAGAACATAGCTCGGCCCATGCACATCCTGAGCATGGCTCACATGTAAGAGGCACAGTATGACCAAGGTGGCAGTGGACCTCCATGGATGAGCCTGGGCAGGTGAACATGGCTTTGCCAGGCTCCTGAAAGCAATGGACTGCAAGGGGGAGTTTTAATTAAGCCTTTCTTCTAGAAAAATCTTTCCAACCAATTGCCACAAGGTGAATGAATTGAGAGTCCAAGCCTAGAACTCTGAATGACATGGGAGGACACCGCTCTCCCCAGAGGAGAAGGTTGGACAAACTGGTGTAGGGCAGGAGGCCCTGGTCAAGCCAGAAAGTGGCCTGCTCAACAGAATCACCTGAAGAACTTGTTAACCTTGTACTTGTGCCAAATCATCAGAACTCCTAAGTCAGAAACTCACACATTTGTGAGTTTGAAAAGCTTCTCTAGGGGCAGGCATTTGGCATAGTGGTTAAGATACCACTTCAGACACCCGTATTCCAGATCAGAAAGCCTAGGTTCAAGTCCTGGCTCTGCTCTCGATTGCAGCTTCCTGCTCATGGGAGGCAGAAGACAATGGCCCAAGAGCTTGGGTTTCTGCCATGCACATGGGAGACCTTGATTGAGTTCCTGCTCCTGGTTTTGGCCTGGCCCAAACCTGGCTGTTGTGGGCATTTGGAGAATGAACCAGTGGAGGGGAGATTCTTCTCTCTCTCTCTCTTTCAAATAAAATAAAATAAAAATGAATACATAAATAAACTTTTTTTTTGACAGGCAGAGTGGACAGTGAGAGAGAGAGACAGAAAGAAAGGTCTTCCTTTTGCCATTGGTTCACCCTCCAATGGCCGCCGCGGCCGGCGCGCTGCGGCCGGCGCACCGCACTGATCTGATGGCAGGAGCCAGGTACTTATCCTGGTCTCCCATGGGGTACAGGGTCCAAGCACTTGGGCCATCCTCCACTGCACTCCCTGGCCACAGCAGAGAGCTGGCCTGGAAGAGGGGCAACCGGGACTAGAACCCGGTGTGCCGGCGCTGCAAGGTGGAGGATTAGCCTAGTGAGCCGTGGCGCTGGCCAAATAAACATTTTTTTAAAAGCTTCTCTTATCTAGCTTCAGCAAGGGCTGAGAATTCCTGCAGTGTAAGGTGAGGAGACACAGCCTGGTGACACTGAGAGAGGGGGCAGGAGCCAGGCAGAGGAAGGAACGTGTGTGTGTGTGTGTGTGTGTGTGTGTGTGTTTGTGGAGGGGGAGGAGATGAGGAGTGTTCCAGTTGCTGTGAATCATCAGGGATGCCAGCCCCTGCAAATCACAGGCTGCACTGGGAGGCCAAGGGTGGAGAACTTCACCTCCCTCCTTCCTAGGTGCACAGAAGAGACCAGGTTTTGAGGCAGCGAAATCCCACACCAGGGAATCATTTGACAAACAGATTATTCCAGGCTCACTCATTCACTCCATTTATTCCAGAGATGCTTACGGGACCAGGGTAGTGTCACAACAGGTTAAGCCACAGCCTGTGGCACCCAGATGCTCAGCTTCCTGCTAATGTGCCTGGGAGGCAGTAGCTGATGGCCCAAGCACTTGGGCCCCTGCCACCCACATGGGAGACCAGGAAGGAGTTCCTGGCTCCTGGCTATAGCCCAGCCCAGCCCAGGCTGTTGTAGCCATCTGGGGAGTAAGACAGTGGATGGAAGATCTGTCTCTGTCACTCTGCCTTTCAAATAAATCGATGAGTAACTGAGAGAGAGAGAGAGAGAGAGAGAGAGAGAGAGAGAGAGACAGATGCTTACTCAGCACTTTCTGTGGACTGGGTGCTATGCTAATATTAAGGGTAGAGATGGTCAGAGATGGTCAGAGATGGTCCCTGCCCTCATGAGAGTTCCAGTCTACTGGATAAAGCTGATTTTATATAAGCAATGACTATTTAATGTAAAATTACTACTGTGCTAAATATGACAAAGAGAAAAATACATAGAGAACACATAATAAGGACTGTGACCCAGCTTGAGGGGCCTGAAAATCTGCCCTAAGATAGTGTCACCTTAGCCAAGGTGCAAAAGATGAGTAGGAATTATCAAGGAGGATGGGAGCTAAAAGGGAGGAGGGACAGCATGCAGAAAGGCCCTGTGGCAGGTGGCCTTTATGTTGGGCTCCTCAAGGTACATAGGCCCAGATTCTCCAACCCGTGGGAGAAGCTTCCCCAGGAAACAGCCCCAGGCAACCCTTACGGAAAACCCATTTTGGAACTGGTCATAGCAGAGTCCCCCAAGTTTCTCACAAGGGAGAGGTGGCCAGAAGCCTGTGCAGAGTGCATTCCCTGGCAGCTTCCCAGGAGGCTGCAGCACAGGCCCAGGTGTTTGAGCTGAGACAACCTTGCAGTGAGGTCATCACGCACATCCACCATCGCTCCACTGGGGGGCGGGGGTTGGGGGGCAGTGCTTCCTGACAGCTGCTCTCAGGCAAAACTCCTTCCTTTTCCATTTTATTGCTCCTTGCTCCCTCCTCAGCAGGAGGCTGTGTCTCTGAAGAAGCTGGGCTAACAACTGCAGGCTGCAATTACCATTCTTTTGCCTGGTCATCTCCCACCCCTGCTCCTGGCCAGTTTCTCTGCATTTGTTTTATTGCACAGATATTTATCAAGCACCTGCTGTGTGCCCAGCACAGAGCTGGGTGTCATAGTGAATGGGGCTGGAGGACAAGAAAATTTTGGATGGCCTTTCCGCTGCATAACTCAGAGGTAGGTGACCTCATATAGCTATTCAATAATTATTTATGGAATAGGAACAGAAATTGAGGTTTATGTGCATGATTTAAGGTCCCCATGGTACACACAACAGAAGTGAATATTGCCACAAATCCCCCTAGAGTCAGGGGGAGTCATTTAAATAAGCTAAATAATCAATCATCTGAAACCAATAGGTGATGCCTAGAGTTGATCATTCAAGGGGTAGAAGTAAGAAAGCTTTAACAGAAATCACCAGGGTGGGATGAACTTGAGCATCTGGAGTCAGATTTCTGACACTGAATCCCTTTTCTGTTGTTCATCAGCTGGCTGAACTTGGAGTGATTACCTGACAGCTCCATGTTTTAGTTTTCCCATCTGCTAAATGGGCATGACAAAGCCATTTACTTCATGGGGTACTGGTGAGCACTCAAAGAATCAATGTACATAAAGGGTTTAACCCAGGGCTTAGCACCTGATAGGAATGCTCATTGGGGCCTGTGTTGTAGTGCAGCAGGTTAAGCCATCACCTGCAATGTCAGCATGCCATGTGAGTTCAAGTCTCACATGCTCCACTTTGCAGTCCTGCTCCCTGCTAATATGCCTGGAAAGGCAAGGGATGCAAGTGCTTGGGCCCCGCCCACCCACCTGGGAGACCCAGATGGAGCTTCCAGGGTCCTGGCTTCAGCCTGGCCCAGCCGCAATCATTTCAGCCATTTGGAGAGTGAAACAGTGGATGGGAAATCTCTCTCCCTTCCTCCCTCCCTCCCTCCCTCCCTCCCTCCCTCCCTTCTCCCACCTCTGTGTCTGTCTCTCCCTGTAACTCTGCCTTTCAAATAAATAAATAAATTTTTTTAAAAAGTGCTCAATAAATGTTAGTCAAAGCTAAAAACAAAACAGTTTAAAAATGTTGATGTCTGGGGAACAGGATATGGTGGAAGCAGTTGGTTTTTATTATAAGCTGTCTGAATTAAATTTTATGACCAAATGTATATATCACACTGCTAAAAATAAAATATATAGAGTGGGAGGTCACAGTGGAAATCCAGATCCTGGATGAATTTTCCTGGCTTGAACATCTCCCTTCTTACCTCCCTCAAAGCGCCCCCCCACCCCTAGCCGCTTCCCTGGCCCATCTTCACCCCAGTTTCCTGCCCCCACACCCTGCTCTGTTACTTTCTATTTGTCTTCCTTGCTACCTGCCTTTAGCTGCTCTCAGTAGGGCTTAGAGTCCTTGTGCCATCCAGCCCCTGGGGCCTATGGCTGTGCTGTTATGGTGCCAGGACAAACAACAGACACAAACCTGGGGCAGATGGTATGGCATTTGGGCCTGCAGGTTGTGGTACCTGCCACAGGACAGTGGTTTCCAGAAATGCACTTCCCATTTCAGGGACTCTGGACCTCCTCAGATGAAAAACTGCTCACCGCAAGAAGGTCCCCCTCTGGTGCTACCATGCTGTGTGACTATAGAAGAATCACTTCCCTCTTCTGATCCTGCATTTCTTCTTTGATAAAATCAAGGAGTTGTTTGTCCTAAAGGACTTGAATCTTAGTTCTTTCTTCAGTCTTTGCCAGTCTTTACCCTTGAGCTCTTCTGGTCTCAGAAACAGCAGTGCATGCACATACCAGGTGTCTGGGAACACCTGTGCCTCTGAGGAGAGAGATGGGCTCTGGGTCTGCCCTGTGTCAGGATCTGGTTCCTGTACACAGGACTCGTGTTTTCCTTTGGGGCTCAGTCTTCAGTGCTTTGAGGACCCAGATGGAGCTAACCAACTCCACACCCCACTGGGGAACAAGTGGCTCACACAGAGCCACTGAGACTCAGTGCAAGATGTTTAGTGAGTGGTTGGGAAAGAGAAGTCAGTTTGCCCCTGGCATCACTAGCTGTCAGGATAATGTAAACCTGGAGCTGCTAGCAAGTGCCCTGCCATCTGTGGAGAGTAGCATTCCTGGGGACCAAGAACATAAGGAAAAAGCAGAGCTGAGAGAGGGAAAAAGAGGTAGAGGGAGGGAAGGAGAATTCTGTGGCTCTGTGGCATGCTTTGATCACCTGGAGTTCACTGTACCTGAAGCCACATCTACTCTGGACTTTTCTTTTCTTTTTCTTTTTTTAGATTTTATCTATTTATTTGAGAGGTAGAGTTACAGACAGTGAGAGGAAGAAACAGAGAGAGAGGTCTTCCATCTGCTGATTCACTCCCCAAGTGGCCGCAACAGCCCAGAGCTGCGCTGATCCAAAGCCAGGAGCCAGGAGCTTCTTCCAGGTCTCCCACGTGGCTGCAGGGGCCCAAGGACTTGAGCCATCTTCTACTACTTTCCCAGGCAATAGCAGAGAGCTGATTGTCAGAGGAGGAGCTGGGACCAGAACCAGCACCCATATGGGATGCCAGCGCCACCGGTGGAGGATTAACATACTGCACCACTGCACCAGCCCCTACTCTGGACTTTTCAATTGAGTAAGGCAGTAAATTTACTTCATTCTTTTTTGTTTTTTAATTGCCAAACCTTTTTTGAGCTGTGCACTTTCCAAGAAAGAATCTTGTCCTCAAAGATTTATGTCTTACAGAAATTCTTTCCTGTGCCCCTCCTTTTTCTTAGCAAACTGCTGTGCATCAGCCAGGAGGCCCCCAAACATCACCTCCCCTGCGACCTTGTCAGGGGCACTCAGCAAAATCAGAAGTTCCTTCTCCAGGCTCTGTAGCAGCCTGTAGATGCCTTCAATAAAGTACCTCTTGCATTACGTCAGGATCTTACATGCTTGTCTCTTTAGAGCCCCGTGTTCACCACGTGCACACTTGTCTTTGAATTCCCAGTTCCTCCATCAGGAGCTGGTGTATAGTTTGTGCTTGATGAATGACAGAATGAATGAATGTATAACCTGAATCTCTCCACTGTGGCATTAACCCTCTTTTGGGGTTGCTCTGAAGAAATAGAAACCAATTTGTCACTCTGCTTTATGTGGATTAGTCACAGTTTAATTCATGACAAGGTGGCATAAGGTATATATGAGCTAACTGAATGCTAAAAACAACTCCAATTTTAGTGCTAAATTGTCAGTCCCTTGATGCACTTGCCTGTTCTCATTACCCATCCCTTTTGTACACAGGAGGCCTCCTGGTGAAACTGAACTTGGGAGTGGGGTACCTGGATTCTACTCCCCAACTGGCCTCCTCTATGATTTTGTCGAGTCTCCTCCTCTTCAGAGCAAAGGGGGTAGGTCACATCAGTTGCAAGGCCATAGTGACCATTGCTCAGCCCCAAGTGAATCATGCAGGAAGACAGGACTGGTAGAGCCTGATCTTGAAGTTTTCCAGAGAAGCTGGAATCGTAGATCTTTATGTAAAATATGTGTTTTAAAAATTATTGTGTGGGCCCAGGCTGGTAGGAGAGCAAAATGACTCAACCCCTGTGGAGGGGAATTTAGCATAGCTTTCACAACTGAAGGTCTGTTTATCCTTTGTTTCCGTTCATCCTACTTCTAGGAACCGCCCCTTGAAGATTCACCTCCCCATTATAGAAAAAATGTGCACAAGGTTAGTCATCACGGCGTTATTTTAACAGCACAAGATTAAAAGCAAGTGTCCATCTATAGGGCAGTATTTGAAGCTTAGTTCATTCATGGCATGGTTTGCAGTTGGAAAAAAAATGAGACTATCTCTATGTATTTGTATGGCGTGATTGCCAGTATCATCTACATAACAATGGTGAGGTACAATCCACTATATAGCAAAGTGCGCTTAAAATGTAAATCTCCCAGCTGAAGACAGAGAGCACTGGCCAAGCTTAGCCATTGGCTGTCCCATAGGCAAACTGCGGCTGAGGGAATGGGACACTGGAGCTTCTACTTTGTGTGTACACGTGCAGTCACACACATTCGCATTCCAGCAAGCAGCAGAACCTCCATAGGAACAAGCAGGCTACTCAGTGGCCCATTGGCAAACCCAGAGTCCCATGTAGAGAACTGCCTGGGGGTGTCACGCTGGAGGACCTTTGCAGGGTGTTTATTATGGGCTGGGTAGGATTCGTCTCCCCAAAACTCATGCAGACTTTTAAATTCTGATGTCAATGTTAAGAGTTGATGGATTAGGGGCAGAGATATGATCTAGTTTTGGGCTAGGAAGGAGGGTGGCAATGGGAGGTCTTTAGGTCACTGGGGATGTGTCCTTGGAAGGGTGGTTCTTGAAAGAGGTTTGATTATTTGAGTCCAAGTTGGGCCAGTGTTCTCTCTCTTTCTGGCTCACCAGGTGACTGGGCCTGCCCAGCCAGCATCATGAGCTTCCACAGGCACCAGGCCATGGAGCTGTCCCATCCTGAACTGAAATCTCCACACCGTGAGCTGAAAAAAACCTTTTCTTTTCCAAAGAAGCTCCTCTCAGATATTTTAAAGTAATGAAAAGAGGTCTAACACAGTACTGAACTTAGATCCCAACAGTACTGCGTTCTAGCACCAGAGCTGCCCCTTGTCAGTCGGGAAGACCTTTCTCCTTCCTCCCTCCTGATTCAATTGTTATTCATGTGTTCATTTGTGCAATGCCTTTTCCATAACTAGATCGTGAGCCCTGTGAGACCGTGATCCATCTGTTTGCCAACCACTGAATGAATCCCTAACATCTGCTATAGTGCCTGGTGTGTGGTAGGTTCTCAATAAATAACTGTTGAATGAATGACTACAACGAATCAATGAAGTGATGTACATAAAGGACTTAGCACAGTGCCGAGGCAGGGAGGAGTGCTCAATGAAACACAGTAGCAGTTTGCTTAACATAAGGATAATGGTGGCTTCTAGTTGTAAGACTTCAGACAAATTATTGAAACTCCTGAGTCTTGCCTTCCTCGCCTGCACTATGGGTCAAATAACACCTCTTTCTGGGTATTGTGAGCATTGATGAGATAATATATGCAGGGTATTCAGTGACAAGCTTGGCACACAAGGATACTTACCAAATGACGGCTATCACTAGAGAAAAAGTAGAAACTGGAAAAACAGAAGAATTGGGCAAATCTCTTAATTGCTGTTGAAATGAGAGGAGTTTGCACCTTCCCCTCTCTTACATAAGGTAGCCATCCATTTTTCAGCAAGTCTAGCTAAACAGATACTATGTGCTGGGCATCATGCCAGCCACTAAGAGCAGCTTAAAAATTAACCAATTAATGAGTATGAGGTTTTTGGGGGGAGTGATGAAAAAAATATTAAAAGCCATTGAATTGTACAAAGTGAATGAATTGTATGGCAGGTAAATATCTCAATAAAACTAACACACACTCTCTCAACATTTTTTTTTTTAAGAAATGAACAACAGACAAAAGTCAATCACATTCTTCTTGTGGGTTATGACACATACTTGACATTTCTGCTTCCATTTTCTCCTCTAGAAAATGGAAATAGGGGCCAGTGCTGTGGCATAGCAGGTAAAGCTGCCTGCTGCAGTGCCAGCATCACATATGAGTGCCGGTTCAAGACCTGGCTGCTCCACTTCTGATCTAGCTCTCTACTATGGCCTGGGAAAGAAGTGGAAGATGGCCCAAGTGCTTGGGACCCTGCTACCCACATGAGAAACTCGGATGAAGCTCCAGGCTCTGATCTGGCCCAGCCCTGGGTGTTGCGATCATCTCTCTCTCTCCCTCTCTCTCTCTCCCTCCCTCTATAACTCTTTCAAATAAATAAATAAATCTTTATTTAAAAGGAGAAAAAGAGCTCCATAAATGTTAGTACTCTCATTTTTATTAATATACAATAAATGTAAGCATATACAGTGATCTGAGGTTGGGGTGGGAGGTGGAAGGTGCCAGTGAAGAAGTGAAGAGAAGATGCTGGGTAAGCTGAGTCAGGGCTCATCAGCACAAAAGCACCAGAAGGGTATCTTGGGGAGGAGAAGCTACATTAACAGAGGTACAGAGGAGAAAAGCAACAATGTCAGGGTAAGGGACTCTCAGCAGTCTTGTATGTAGTGTACAGCCAGCAACATGGGGTTTATTGCGAGGACAATGGGGAGACCACAAGAAGGAAGGGACGCGACAAGTTTGGTCACTGCAGTGGGGGTGGATTCATTTCAAGGGAGGGAGGAGTAAAGTAGCAGAAGTGGCAGTGTGAGAGATACCACATTTCGAGGAAGAGATGGTAAAGGCTTTAACTGGGACTTTGACATAAGGTTATCAAGGCCAGGGCTCCTTTGGTCACAAGGACAGAGAGTAACTTTTCGGGGAAAGCAGAAACCCCACACCAATGTTGGGGCAGGGACCTCAGTCCAGCCAGGCATCCTGGAAACCAGAAATGGAAGAGGAAAACCAGGAGTCAGGGTTTGGTCTCTTAGCACTACCGTTGCCTGCTCCCTTGCCTTTTTGACTGATGCATTCCTCTGCAGTCCCCTATCTTTTCTTCGTGTGTGGTCCCAGAATAATCTCCACTTTGATGCTCCCTGAACTTCCCCTCCTCCGCCTGCCTGTAGCACTTGCTTGTAATTTCTAAGGCTCAGCTCACCCTTGTGATCCCGGGGAGGTAAGTTACAGGTCAAAGACAAGCCCACGACTGAGGGAGGGGACGGACCAGGAGCTAGAGGATTTGACTATGGAGGCAGCCAGGTTCTGATCAAGGATTCTTCTTGGGAGCTCCTGAAATAGGTCCCAAATAGGCCTACAGGGGAAGGGATAAACTTAAAATTTACTAGGCAATAAACTCAGCATTATTAGGTAATTTCTTGAATGTGGAAGGTCAATTGGAGGGGAGGAACAATGACATCTCAGCTCCACTTTCCTCCGGCGTGGGGCTGCCGTGAGATTCTCAACTGAGTAGAGTGTAGGCAGGAAATGGAGGGCACTCTGGCTCTGGGAAATGAGAAGGAGAGTTTCCTAGGAGGACAATGGGGCAGGGTAAAGAAACCACAAGGATACAACTAGGTCAGAGCAGGGCTGGGGGGATGGAGAAACAGCCCAGGCTGTCCAGCCCTAGGGCGCAAGAGGCAAGAGTCCCTTTCAGAGAGGAGGGTACTTTTTTGCCCGACAGGAGCTATGACCTTTGATGGCAGGCACAGCCAGCCTGAGGCCCAGGCCCAGTAAGGAAGCTGGGAAAAGAACACCCTGACCTGGCTCTTCTCCTTCCCCCTGAAATCCTGCCCTGGCTTGGAAGGGCTAAACCCAAGCGGAAAACAGAGAGCAAGGAACTCATTGATGTTATCTCCACAGTCTCCGTGGGCAGAGAGGCACGAAAGTCAGCGTTCGGTCCTCAAGGCGTGGCTCATAACCAGTGCTCTCAGCAGCCTGAGCTGGGAAAGACCACCCCTTCCCGGTAAGCCCCCACACCAAAGGCACCTTCGCGGGGTCGGGTGCAGCGTCCGCTCCTGGGCCAGTCACTGCGGTGGAGAGAGACGGAGTGCTCTGGTTGGCTAAGACTGAAGTTAGGGGTGGGGTCAGTTGTGAGCCAGCCTCCCAGCAGAGATGAAAGTGAGGGTAGCTCTCCAAGGAAAAGCAGAATGTTAACCAGCCAGATAATAAGAATAGGGGTCCACTCCTGCACATAACGGGGCTCCCGGAGGATTTGTGAGCAGCTGTTGTGGTTCTTGCCGGATGGATACGAGTGGGTGGGGCGGAGAGACCAGAGTTTACGGGTGAGTGGGTGAGCACAGTCCTGCGGGATGGAAGGGCCCATTCTTAAGGCCTTGGTTTTCTGACAGGGATGAATCCCGACCTGTGTTCCAGAGCTCACAAGCAAGTTGTTAACCACAAGTTCAGGCTTCTCACCCGCTTTGCTGACCCCTCCCTGCCAGCAATGCCCACTGAGCCCTCCTTCCTGGATCCATCCGTTAAGGTTAGACCTAAAGACTTTTCTGGAATCACTGAAGTTTGCTGGAAGGTGCCACCTAGTGGAGAATCCGATGACTTACAGCTTCGACTAAAAGATACTATGCAGGGTGTTCAGAAAGCCATTGACACGGCCACAAACTGGAACCACTTGGGAATGACTCAGTGCTATCCCCAGAGTTTCTGACGTCATTGGTCTGGGATGCTGAGTAGGCACCCAGAGTTTCAAAAGCTTCCCAGGTGTCTCCAATATGCAGCCAAGGAGGAGACCGCGGGTTATACAATATCCTACTTCCTTTCTTCACAATGGAAGCCCACAGACAGAAACCATCTTTCCAAGAGTCTCAGGCTCCTGGGGACACCGTTTTGCCATTCAGTCATTTGCATCTATACCTGTGTTTTGCACAACTTGTTCTCCTTTGTGCAAAAACGAAAAGCAATTAAACAGGAAGCATTCTCATTTCCAAAGTCCAAATGTTTTTTTGGTGACACCAGGAAGAAGGCTCCCTATACGCCTGATATTTGCATCTCACCCTACTGGCTGATGCCATGTTTGAGATGTATCCATCCAATGACACAGAATATTGACTCTGATCTTTGTAGCCTTCCTTGTTTGCCTTTTCAAACGTTGTCCGCCTGGAGGCACCTTCTGCATCCACTGTCTTGATTCAGTAACATCCTTTTACAGTAGGCAGGTTGGTTTAACTGGCATCTCAGGGTGGAAGTGACAAAGTAGACAGAGAGAGAGAGACAAAGAGAGGTAATTCTATGTCTAGGGGTTATTTCAAATAAGCATCCTGAAAACTCTTTTTATTCCAACTGGGAGCTGAAATGCCACTAAATGCTAGCACTGGAATGAACCCCAAAACTGGTACTCTATGTCTGAACCCCCTTATCCCATCATACTAACAAGATTGCATCTGAGAATTTTAGACTTTAGAAAGACCTTAGTGAGCAGTGTTAGTGCATTTTCTGAATGCAGGTTTTTAAGAGGTCGGAGCTTGATTGATTCATTCATTTCCCAAATGCTTGTTGAGCACCTATTGAGGGTGAAGTACTGTGCTGGGTGTTGGGACATGCACGAGAGCAAAAACACAGGGCAAAGAAGCCTATGAAAAGATGCTCCACATCATAGTTCATGGGGAAACACAAATTAGTAAAATAATGAGGCACCACTGCACATCTTTTATAATGGCCAAAATCCAGAAGACTGGTAGCACCTCATGCGGGCTCTCAAACCACCTAAGACATAAATGAACCTTACATGCATATGTCTAAGTGAAAGAAGTCAATATGGAAAGGTTGTATACTGAATGTATCCAACTACATAATACTCTGGAAGAGGCCAAGCTATGGAGACAGTAAAAAAGATCAGTCAATGGCTGCCAAGGGTTGAGCAGAGGTGGTGATGGGATGAAAAGGTGGAGCACAGAGGATGCGCAGGGCAGTGAAGTGCCACTGTGTGATACTGTAATGACGGATATGTCCTTATGTATCCGTCCAAATCCATAGAATGCACAGTGCCAGAAGTGAACATGGATGTGAACATGGACTTAGGTGGTAATGGTGTGTCAGTGTGGATTCATCAATTTTAACAAATGTGCTGCTCTGGTGGGAGGATGTTGATTGTCAGGGAGGCTGTGCATGTGTGGAGGCAATTTTAAGGGGCACAAGGGAATCTCTGTACCTTCTGTTTAATTTGGCTGTGAACCTAAATTTGTTCTAAAAAAAAAAAAAAGCCTATGAAAAGCAAACAAAAAATGTCAGAAACCAAACATGGTCTCTGTCCTCACAGGGTTTCCAGTCCAGTGGGGAAGACAGATACCAGGAATCAGCTCATAACCAACAATGCTGTGACTGCCTGAAAAGGCACTGCTAAGAGGTCACACAGCTTGGAAGCTAAGTCTGAGGGCTTCTCTGAGAATGTGTCAGCTGAACTTGACGATCCCCGAGGAGAGGAGGAGCAAGAGGTCTTCAGGTTTGCAGGAGACACAGCAGTCCAACCCCTACAGGTTTTTGGGTTTTGGTTGAAGTCAAACACACCTCTTAACACCGTAGAAACTGTTATCATCACAGACTCTCAATGATCACCTCTGTACAGATGAGGAATTGGAGGCTTGGAGGAACTTGGCCAAGGTTAAAAAGTGTTAGAGGGGTGAGTGTTTAGCCCAGCCATTAAGGTGTCCATGTCCCTCATGGTAGCAGGGAGGATGGAAATGTGGGAAGACAGAAAATATTCATCATTCATGGAAAATGCATATGATGAAAAAAACTATGTGTGCATTTCAAGATTTTTTTCAATAAAATGTATTCTTTCATCTTTTATTTATTTGACAGGCAGAGACATAGATGATAGATAGATAGATAGATAGCTCCCATTCATTAATTCCCTTCTCAAATGCCTTCAGTAGCCTGAGTTGGGACA